CGCCTGCTCCTACCCCAGGAGATTCTGATGTAATATGGCTAGGGTGGGGCCTTGGGGAGGGGTGAGGATATTTTTAAGGCTTCCAGATGATTACAAATTTCAGCCAAGGTGGAGAAGCACTGAACTACAAGGTCTCAGAATCATAGCATCACTGCTTAGTGATTTATTAGATACACGACCTGACTGCAGCTCTTTAAAAAGCACATGGTGGCAGGTGGCTGGGCTGGATGGGCTCAGGGTTAAATGAGGGCCTTCTTCCTCCTGCTGCTACCACAGTGACTCCCCCTGGTGGCACAGGTAGGAGAAACATGTCCAAGTACGGATGTGCTTAGAATTTCCTTCTGAGCACTGCGTAGTTCACAATATTTCTGATTATTGTCTTGTTTTCCTTCTCCCATGCATCTTACAAGGCAAACACAAACTTGTCCGGTTTTATGACAAGAAGACTTCAGTCTGATGATGTCATGCAGCTTGCCTAAGATCATTCATTTCTACTGCTGGATGGGGCAGCTAGAAATGTTTCTTTTGCATTAGGTGTCCCTTCCCCTCTATGAGTTTTCTTTTCTCCGCAGAAGGGTTGCACACTTATGAGGTCGAGGTGGTCCTGCTCCCAGTATTCACATCCCTAATCCTTCCAGCAGTCATGGAAGCACATTGCATATATGCTCCTGGGAATCTTCCTCCAAATGGACTCCAGAAACTCTCAAGTTTGGCACCACTATCTCACTTCTGCCCTTTTTTGTGGTCCCATACATGCGCCATGCCCGACGCTATTGTCTTTGCTACAGAAGCTTCCACAATGGCTAAGAAAGAAATATCCTTAAAGATGTCAACACTTCTCAAATACTTCAGCACAAGATGTTTCCATCCTCTCTGCTCACTGCCATCAACAGCTTTGCGACTGTCTCTTCCAAGAGTGTGAAAACTAAATCCTAGTAGAATATTGATCGATGATTTGTGATGGCTCTACTTAGAGATTTTTGCAGCTTACACAGGACTTTGGTGGGGAGGAGGGTAACCTAGAGCAATCACTCTAATGCTAGAATTTCCTGCACTAACACAGCTGGGCGATGTATATTTGGACATGAAATCCTGCCTTGTTCCTCTAAATGAAATGATACAGGTGAAGGTTCAAGTACCAGTGAAGACTCACTACATTGTTCATGGGTTTTAAAGGCAGGATAGAAATCAAATCATGAAGCACATTTTACCTCCTTAAACCAATTTTCTCTTAAAAAAACATGTACTTTTAGGTGTTTACCATCACCTGAGAATTCTTAATATTATAAACTATATGGCAGAGACCTCTCAGAGATACTGTAGGAAGCCTTGAATGAAAGTGAGAATGCTCAGAAGCATTTGGGAGCTGCATTAATTTGCCACACAAAGTTCTGGAAAAGCCAAGTTACACACAATTAGTGGAACAATACAACAATCTGTCTTCACCTGGCCAAGGCAGCTCTGTCACTACCCCTCAGCGGCACCACAACCTCGCACACTGTGATTTTGTATCACTGTTCCTTGGTGATTGCATTTCAGAGAAATCTATATTTCCCCACAACTGAGTCTGCAGGGCTTTCTTTTTTTTAAAATTTTTAATTTAAAAATCATAGTTTTTCTTGGAATTCAGCCTCACTCCTTTACTTTCTGTCCAGGCCATTTTTATCTGAGTTCTCTCATATTGATTCTTTTTTTGCACATTATTTAAAAAAAAAATCACAAAGGTACAAAAAAGACAAAAATAAACACACTGTGGGGAAGAAGAGACAATGCATTGTAACTGAAATGGTACTAAAGATAACGTAGCACTCAGACTTCTAAAGTTCTAATTATATTGCTTCAGTCATTCAAAGTAGCTCACCATTTCTTTCCAGGGATTAAGCACAGTATTTGTTGAGTGAACAATAGAACCATTTTACTTGTAAATGACTTTATCAGTGAAGGTGAGACCCTAGCCAGAGGAGCAGGCCAGCCTAGCTCTGCCAGACTCATCCTAGAGTGTGCAGAAGGTGCCACCATTTCTTACGTATCCCTTTATGAAAGGTAATCCCCGACCCTTGGGAGTGCTTGTTATATACTTCACTTCCTAGGTACTTGGCAACCTCTTAACTCCTTAACATTATCTAATTTAAACCCTGCAATCAACCTTCATCCCCCCTTGTTAAGAGTAGTAGCATCATGTCCATTTTATTTTATTTTTTTATGTCCATATTAAAAATAGATAAACTGAGGTCCAATGATTTATCTAAGGTCATTATAGTAGGATGGGTCATGGGAGTCATGGAACTTGACTTTGAATTCTGGTTGAGTGACTTTGGCAAGTTTCTTCATCTTTTCTGGGGTTGTGAGAGCTAAATAAGTTATGACTGAGATTGAAATGAATTATTCTGGGGCTGGGGATTTAGCTCAGCAGCACAGTGCCTGCCTGGCAAGCGCAAGGTTGTGAGTTTGATTCCTGGTACCAGAAAAACAAACAAACAAACAAAAATGAAATTAATTATTCTTTGTAAAGTATTGAGAAGAATGACTGGCACACAGCATGAACTAAATTGGTGTCTTTTCAGTGCATTAAATGATAAAATATGAGTCATACAGCTACGGAAGGACTGAAGCAGACTATAACCAGGGGTGCTGTTCTCCAAAGCCATGATCCCACCATTTCTTGAAAGTGTTGGGCTGGAAAGGAGGTTACAGAGACTAAAAGTTGAGGCTGGAGGTAGGACAGCCACAAATGGACTCCTTCAAGCTTTACAACTCGCCCAGTTTTATTTAGCCTATATACAACTTTCATTTGGTTCTTCAAAAGCTTGGTTTGACCACTGTGGTCAGGCAGCCCTGCCAAATCTGCTCCACCAGAACAACATGTATGTGAACATGCACATAATCATGGGCACATGTGGGATGGCATGATCTTTTTGTTTTCACACAAACTGACAGCTAGCGACCAGCTTGAGGCAGCACTGTCCATGTGGGTATCTGGTAAGGCAGCGTAAACTCATTTCCACTCTGGGTGCTACCTGTATTCAGTGTCTGAAGGTGGAAAATCACAGCTTGCAGTCGTTATCCGACTCCCAATCTCTTCTTTGATATTGATAATGTTAAATCATACTAGCAGCTAGGACACTAAGTATACATCTTCAGTGGTAACAGATTTACTGGTGTTAATTTTAAGAAGCTTTTTCTTTGGGTACAAAGAACCATGGGTTGATGCTGCTGTCACAAATGTAACAAAGCGAAGTACATAGCTAAGGCTGACCTCTTCTGGGAAAGAAGGTTGGGTATTAAGGGGCAGAACCTCTATTCTACCTTTGCCAGTTTGCTCCTGGCTCTTGGGCAAGTCAATTGTACCCATGCAGACCATTCTTTCTTAAACTGGGGGTGGTGAATTCTGGCTTTTCTTCTGTCTCGCTGACTTAGTAGGGAAGGTGTGGAGTTTAAAGGGAAGGGAAGTAAGAATAATCTCCAACACATTCTTCTCTATGGGGCTAACAGGCAAAGTGGTGAATTTATCAAGCTTCCTCCAAGGGCAATTGTCTGGGTGCAAAAAAAAAAAAAAAATCTAATACCGCTCAGGTGTACTGGTAGCACACAAACAGATACTCTCCCTGTAAGCTGTCAAAATTTCAGTGTGAATAAAGGATCAGGAAAAAAATTCTAAAGTCTTTTTTTCTTGGGGAGGGTAATAATGAAATAAAGGCTGGAAAAGAATAAGGTGCATACTGATACACATGAAGCAGCGACAATTGTGAAAAGCAAAAGCATCACACCACTCAAGGCTTTGGGAGGGTCAAAGGGGAACTACAGGTACTTTGACCATGAAAACTAGGATTCAGAGAGCATTTGGACAGCTAGAGATTCATTCAGAAGATTTGCTCTTATCAGCTCTTCCTGAAGCATCATTTTCCAGAGTTGTCTTTATTTGGAGGCTTCACGATGTATTTCAAATGGGATGTGGAATTAATACACAGTATGCTGGTCCTGCCACTGCCATTTGCTGGCTTAGATAAATCCCTACCTATCTGGAGCTCAGGGCCCTCAGGTACAAAACTTAGAAGATAATCCCTGGACAACCTGTCTCGCAAGAATATGGTCAAGATCAAATGAGATAATATGAGTGAAAGAATCTCAAAAGCTGTGAGGTTCTGTGCAAAAATTTAACATGGTAGAAACTCTAAGGAGAGTGGGGACATGAGTTATGTGGTTGGCGATGCACAGTGTGATTTGTGAGGGCCACAAGCTCCAACTTCTTTAATTCCTGCTGTGAGTCATTGCTCTGAATTAAGTGCCTCATGACTGCAGCATTGGGCAAATACGTAATAGGGAGACTGCAAGACTAGACAGAGAGGGCTGCTTGCCCCATGACAGAAGAGCCCTAGTTTCATTTGACTTGTTTCCCCACTGTGTAATATAGTCTTACCCAAGTGGGACAAGTGTCCCTAGGCAGGTCCTTATGTCAGCTCTGTGAACCTCGTGTTCAACACCTCTACAGTGACCATACACATGGCTTCCTTGCAGACTTCTATGAAGATTATGAGAGGTAATATTCATGACCTCTGTAGAAATTTCTGGCCAGTAATAAATTCTCAATCAACACTAGTTCCATTCCCATTCCTCCATGCACATAGGTACATGCTGTGTTTAGGAGACTGAATGGTCCCAGGGGCACTTGGTTTCTAAGAGTAGAAACTAAGAAGAGGCTCTAGGAGGTGAGTTAAAGAGAACCCTAGGTCAGCCACATTAGCATTATCTTTGCAGATGGAAGAATTGGTTTTGCAATTAGTACAGGAAGTCATAGTACAGAACAATAGAGTTAATGGAGTGAAGGACCAACAGTCTCCCCCATCACTGGGGTTAGCTAGAACATTTAGTTAAGAAGAAAGTGACAAACACCCCTCTCACAGGACCTACCATAACAGATACTCTGAGATGTGCTTCAAATGACTGTCTTACTGTTATTATTATTACTATTATTATTAATATACTGGTTCTTCTGTCAACAGATTCCATACCCTGTCTGCTTTCTCTGAGCATACCTCTCCCCAGTAGCATATACCTTTCTGATGTTCTGAGAGCTTAAATAGAGACTTCTGGAAGAAGACAGAAACAGAATTTTAACTCAATGCAATGATCGTCACTTATTCCCTCCTATCATCATCATCAAGAGGGCACGTGTTGCTCTTTGAGCCTCCAACCACTGGCTCCCACTCTGGTCTTGTATCTGTTACTGTGGGATAGTATTCTTGGACTCCACAGACACACAGCCCTCAATTCCAGCAAAATCCACACACACGTCCAGTACCATGCAGCTTGCTGGGCTCCACGTGTTTATCCAGGGTCACCAAACCCAGAGCAGTGGGATGAAGGGTGATGCGATTGAAAGAAAGGATCTGCTTTTGTTTTTATGTTCTACCAAGCCCAGCCTTTTGGAAAAAAAGCAGAAGAAGGAGAAGAAGAATCGTGCTTCAAGCTGGTGCCCTGCCGAGCTTCCTCCCTCTCTCTCTTGTCCAAGAACTCCACCATCTGTGCAGACTGCATAACAGCAATTTCTGGAAACAAGCTGAAGAATTTGGGCCAGTCCAGAGGCAGTGGATTGCTGGTATCTGGGTGATGGGGTTTTAGAGATTTTATTTGTCACCTTAATTCTTTTAACTACTGCCAGGTCTTTGAAGCACATCTGCTACCAACAGCTTCTGTTTGTAAAACGAAACTGAAGGTACCCTCTCCAGAGAAATTCTTGAATCTTCTCTGTAGTTCAGTGCTTGCACTAACAGCTTGGCTCACAAAGTACGACTGTGGTAAATATTAAAGAATGTTAATAAAAATGAGATAAAATACCTAGGGATCTCCCCGCCTCACCCCCGCCAAATTCTGCTCCGCTCACTACTAAAGTTTATCTTGACAGAAAATTTACTTCTGTGATCCACATCATTTCCCAAAGCAATTTTCTAACAGCAAATATAAATTTGTGGTGATAGCTAAGAGGTTTTCAATCCCTGTGCTAAGAGGGTCATGAGGTTTCAAGTGTTTGTCTCACCTTCAGGTAAATGTCCCTTTCTTGGGACACTGTCACAGGGAAACACAGAGCAGCGGTTACAGAGGAAGGCCTGGAAATGAGGTTTTGTGCTTCCAACACGGAACTAGTTTGCAGGGGGAGATGCTTCGGGAATCGGGATCAAATCTTAAGATGGTAATTGAGTCATTAACTAAGAAAATAATTGCCTAAGCCTACATATTTGTGTTCTCACATGGGATGAAGCCCTGAGTAAATGTATTGGCTTTACACTGCACTGAACTTTGAGCTGGTGAAAACTACATTTACACTTAAGCAGAGGTGCAAGTTAAGCACATATTATCATATGAAAGCTGTGCTCTTTCTTTCCTGTATTTGCTTGGTCCTTGGCCATTAGGGCTTTACAGAATGAAAACCTGGACCTTGGAATGTAATAGGCCTATCCTCTGAATCCCAGCTCCCCTGTACTGCTGCTGTATGATATGGGACAGACAACTCAACCTCCACTAGTCTTAAGGTAGCTCAATTTTCCTGCTTTCACTAGATGTAGAGGCACATGCTTATAACCCTGAATGCTTGGGAGTCTGAGGTAGGAGGATCACAAATTCAAGGCCAGCCTGAGCAACTTAGCAAGACCTTGTAAATACAAAAGAAAAAAAAATTAAAGAGCTGACGATGTAGCTCAATGTTCCCTGGGTTCAATTACCTGTAACACACACACACACACACACACACACACACACACACACACATGCACACACACACAATATTTAACTTGAAGTTATTGGGAACATTAGCATTAGTATACTTTAAATATTTTATGCATGTGTGGACAAAGTGAGTATTCAGTAAGTACCATTATTGTCACCAGTGTCATAATCATCATCTTCCTCCTCCTCCTCCTTCTTATGGTCTTCCTAACATTTGGTACCAAACGTAAATTATTACCAGTGAAATATATTTTGACTAACACAATGAATCTCCTTTACAATGCTATTTGCCACTGAGTATAATTCAATCTATGACCATCACTAGATGAAAAGATATAAAATAATAGAGTTGTTACCATTTAGAAGTATAAATTTGAGAAAACCATAAGAAGCCATTAGTTTGGATTTTTTTCCCCCTTGTAGCCAAACCAACCCACAGGTGCCACAGTTACTCCTATCATATTTTCTGTTCACAGGCCTTCTTTGCTTTCCTCTGTGCTTATTCAAACTTTTGCGATGATATAACGTCCAGCTAAATTACAAAGAAACCTAAGAAACCTTTCCCAGTGTCTTCAGCTCACTATGATTCTCTCTCTCTCACCCACCTAAAGGTGTTAGAATAGTCATTTTCCTTAGCACACATGTGTACCTGCCTGGACTGTCCCAGGACATTTCTTTTCATTGCCTATATTGTTAATTTACTTATGTGTCACTATCTATCTATCTATCTCTATTATATGTGTGTGTGTGTGACATTATGCACTATTCAGGATAGTCATGGTCAGGAGACAATTCATTTGCATCATTTTAGTTAGTTTAGTTTCTAGTACCAGAGGTGAAACAAAAAACAACACATGGCCCTGCTCTCAGAAGATTCATGTACTGATGCAATGAGTACAGTGTTTGCATGTGTGCTAGCAGCTAAGGGCAGAGAAGGATGCACACGATGCCTCATGTGAGCAAAATGCTTTGAGGAAGCATCTAAAAGAGAAAGGAGAGGGTGAGAAGTTGAAGAACATAGAGTATGCCCTGGGTCTAGAGGAATGGGATTTGACCGGTACAAAGGAAAAGAAAAGCAAGAAAAGAGTTTCACAAGAGAATGTTCCACAGTATACAACAGCCTGCGCACACGCAAGTGAAAGGGAAACATCAGCCAAATGCAATGGCGAGGTGCTCAACAGCATGTGATGATTTCATAAGTAGATACTTGATCAGCAGGACAGTCTTGAATCTAATTTTGTTCATCTCAACAGGAATGTATCCTATCTACAATAGGATGAGTGAGTAAGAAAACAGCTAATGACTTTTATGCCCTTTCCCTACAGGCATTGTTAAAAGGAGAACAGAATTCAAACTAGTGTATTCTAAGGCCCTCAAGGCAATGGAGAATCATCTCATTCAGAAAGAAACAGAACAGAAGGAGGTACCTGATGGAGCTTGTGGAAGCATCCAGAGCACCAAATGATTTAAAGACTATCATCTTAAAATGCAAGGATAATGTGGTAGAAGCTAGCAGAGTTTTAGGTGGTGGCAGGACTTCATCAGGGAAGGTTTCTGAGGGGCCGCTGAGGAGGCAGAATCATAGTAACCAGTGTTCCATTCACAGAAAAGATATTCTAAGGCTCAAATATGGCAGGAAGCGGTCATTCTGCCTACCTTTGTGGGGAGTCATGCAGATGCAGATTACAGGCAGTTTAGGGAGGGCAGGGGATCTGAAATTACAGTGCTTCTTCCTGTAACTGCCCTGAAGATTAGAACACCATTCCTGAGCATTCTGGGCCAATACTAGGCAACCAGAACCATTTCACAGTGGAGAAAGATTGAAATAGTAAGAGAATCTTTATAGTGATTAACAATTATGAAAGGAAAACAAAGCAGGTGAAATATTATTGCCCTTACTGTGAGGCAAGTTTTATACCCATTTCATTGACTATAATCACACACACTGCCAATATACTATCATATAAGCAGCACTGGTTGAAATGTCACTGATACTCTTCATGAGAGTATGTTTGAAGAATCATCATTTAATTCCACATTAGACTTTGAGTTTCTGACAAATAACCCAGGCACCCCTAATTGTATTCACTCCAAGAGTTTTGATTCTTCTGAATTTTATCAATCTGCTTGAGTCCTCAGTGTGTCCCTTGACACCAAATAAGGGGACAAATGAGGACTGATGACTGGGTTCCTGGACTTCCACTCTCTTTCAAAAAGCAGAAGCAAATATGACCGTCAACCTAAGAATGCTCTGAAAGAAAAGATAAATGACTCTGAGGTAAAACTACCAAGGTATCTAGTTATTATATGGATGCATAGGTTAAGATATAGATGTCATCAGATATCAACAATTTTCAATAAAACCCTGGTTGCTATTCTGTGCCCTTAGACCTACACTGATAATGAAACTTGCAGTAAGAGAGATATAGTATGATAAATGCTATTGGCAACGTACACATCAGCCATTCTGCATCTTCTTTGTCCATAATTGCACTGTCTGTAAGGGCTAATAATATCACAGACTGGGTATGCTACCTTTATTGAAGCCAGACCATGGCTAGCCAGTAGAAAAATATCCATAAGGGAAATTCTCTGTAATATTTTATTCTCAGATAAAAATTGCTGTGAAAATTCTGCATGGAGTAGGATAGAGACAAGGCAGCTTAGAAAAAAATCACACGATCATTACCTTAAGGAGGCTGGGAAACATCTCTCAGCGGGTAGGCACTGAGCTCTCACCTGCCTGTGGGAGAATTTTCAGAGATCCTCAATGGAGAAAAGGTTATTGAAGGTCAGAGATGATGAGGAGTGGTGGTGCTGATAGTTCCCCAGCAAAGAAAAGGGCAGGCAATGACGATAAATGTCACTGAAGAGGAAATAGAAAGCAATTAAGAGGAACCTGGTTAAGGCCAGGAGGCAACATAGGAGGGAAGGAGGATCCCTGCTTCTATCTTCTTCAGGCTTCAGCACCGGAAAGGTGGATTTGGAACAACTGCTCTGGACAGGACTCAGGCCTAAACATTCTTTCCAATACTTTTGCAATTTTAGCCTTAACCTTGACTTCCGACCTGGGGATTTAGTGGCCTGGGAAGTCGATACTACTGGCACCTTTGGAGCAGAATGAGAACTACCAGTATTATGCAGTGCAGACTCAGGCTTTTCAAAGTTCCAATTACTTAGCTTGCATTTCCATTTGATTGATAATTCACCATAAAAATGGAATTATTTATTAAAATATTCCAATAAGAACTTGGAAATTCTCAATGAATTTACTTCCTGAAGCATGAAGGTAGTTCCTTCCACTTATACTGCCTTGAATGAGGTTATTTCACTCACAATTCTTTCTCCAGGGTCAGGGAACTAGAGATAAGGCAAATTCAAACACCTGCCATTGTGTCTAGAATCAATCCTTCCAGATTTATCAGTGTCAAACTCCTTCCCATCTATTTCTCTTCTCCCCACCCCTCCCCTTTATTTCTTATCTCCTCTTCCTCTTATCCCTCCATATGACTTGGATACAGTTTGTTTCCCAAAATTCATGCAGCAGTTTAATCCATAATGATATTAAGAAGGTGGAAACTTCATCCTGATTATGATGTTTTGAGATAGAAGCTTTTAAAAATGATGAAACTAGACCCTAAGTCATTACATGATTGAATTCTAACAGGGCTTTTTTTAAGGAGAAAGAAAGACTGCACAGACAGGTACACATGGGGTCTTACCATGATGTAAGGTAGGGCCGGATACAGCTCAGTGGCACAGTGCCTGCCTGGCAAGTGCAAGGTCGTAAGTTTGATTCCCGGTACCAAAACCAAAAACCAAAAACACAGTAACCATGATGTAAGATAGCCAAGAGGAGAAGGGTAACACGAGAGCCTGGGCCAGACCATTTGGACATCCAGCCTCCTAAATTAGTCATAAAGAACTAACTAATTACCTCCCTGCCTCTTTTATCCTTCCTCTCCTTTTGTGTTAAGTACATATAGTGGCTGGAGAACCATCCTTTACCTTGCATGGAAAGCTGTTCCTTCAGCTTTAGGAGGGCACAGGGACACTCTTCACAGCTGCTCTCAGCTGTAATGAGGGTAAAGGGGGGACACATATAACTCATCATTCGTTATA